CCCCGAGCTGGGGGCTCCATCCTCCCCTGCCCCCAGGCTGTGTAAGCTACATGGTGGGAAGACAGGGTCCTGCTCCTTTGTGGGAACAGAGGTGGTAAGTGTCCCCAGAAGTAGGAATCAGGGTGAGCACAGGGTAATCAGGATGGGTTTAGGTGTGAATGGGAAAGCCAGTGGTCACAGGACCCTGAGCTCAGAGTGGAGCTTTCTTCTCATGCTGGGCGCTGGCTGCCCACCAAGGGCAGCTTGCATTCTTCTTCTGACACAGTCGTCAGAATGTCAGCAGACTTACAGCAGATCGTGGAGGTGTAGGGGGAGGGTATTTATGAGATAGACTCCTCCCTGCTGCTGACCCACTTAGCAGGGCCATATTTATGTCCGAGGGGCCACCCTGGGCTGGCTGCACAGCCAGAGTATCATGACTGCCCCTGTGTCTGGCCACTAGGGTGGCCCTTCATGGAGTAGCCACACGGTGGGTGTTGGGCTTCCCAAGGGTCTGGCACATGCCTCTGGTGTGGTGAGAGGGGGCAATGCTCTATCTGCTAAGGTGGCAAGAACCACGCTCTCCGGATGGAAGATTCTGGCAGCTCTGAAGCCCCATGCATGTCCTGGAGTCCCGATGAGGTCACAGCATCTTCTGTCCATTATCTGGACAAAACAGGTCTCCACTGCTCACTGCTCAGCAGCCCAGCTGTACCTCTGTCTTCTCAGCCATCCGGCCTCTGACCCCACTCACATCATCTCTCTATGACTGCTGAACGCTCATGGCTGGGGCAAGTGGTCAAATGGGGTGCACAGGACTCTGTGGCTAACCTGGACCATTGTGGGGAAGGACTCACTATTTCTGTACCTGGAACCAGCAGACTCGCACTGCTGTGTTGGGACAGGGAAGTGCTGGGTATCCTGCAGGTGGAGGTCCTTGGCTGCCCTGTTCTGTCCTCCCGGGGAGGTGCTAGGTACCCTGCAGGTGGAGGTCTTTGGCTGCCCTGTCCCATCCTCCCGGGAGGTGCTAGGTATCCTGCAAGTGGACGTCCTTGGCTGCCCTTTTCTGTCCTGCAGGGAGGTGCTAGGTACCCTCCCCTGTTCCATCCTCCAAGGAGGTGCTAGGTATCCTGCTCTGTTCCATGCTCTGGGGAGGTGCTAGGTACCCCGCAGGTGGAGGTCCTTTGCTGCCCTGTTCCATCCTCTGGGGAGGTGCTAGGTACCCCGCAGGTGGAGGTCCTTTGCTGCCCTGTTCCATCCTCCGGGGAGGTGCTAGGTACCCCGCAGGTGGAGGTGGTTTGCTGCCCTGTTCCATCCTCCGGGGAGGTGCTAGGTATCCTGCCCTGTTCCATCCTCTGGGGAAGTGCTAGGTACCCCGCAGGTGGAGGTCCTTTGCTGCCCTGTTCCATCCTCCGGGGAGGTGCTAGGTATCTTGCAGGTGGAGGTCCTTGGCTGCCCTGTTCTGTCCTCCAGGGAGGTGCTAGGTACCCCGCAGGTGGAGGTCCTTTGCTGCCCTGTTCCATCCTTTGGGGAGGTGTTAGGTACCCTGCAGGTGGAGGTGGTTTGCTGCTCTGTTCCATCCTCCAGGGAGGTGCTAGGTATCCTGCTCTCCATCCTCCGGGGAGGTGCTAGGTATCTTGCAGGTGGAGGTCCTTGGCTGCCCTGTTCCATCCTCCGGGGAGGTGCTAGGTACCCCGCAGGTGGAGGTCCTTGGCTGTCCTATTCCATCTTCTGATTTGGCCTTCCTGTTCTCTGCTTCCTTACAGCTCTGGGTGAAGCACGCTCCAGCGAGGGAAAAAGCTGCCCCCAAATGTCACACCTGGTGCTGAGTTTTACTGGGGATAGTAACATTTCTTTGAGGGGGGCACTGAATGTGCACAGCTCACCCCCTGTCCCTCCTTCCTTTCCAGTGTCCCTTTGAGAAGGGCACCCTGCACTTGCCTGGGAGCACAGACATTTCAAGTTTTAACCAGGGTGCTGTCTGCAGCCTTTCAGGCGGTTTCTATGGCAGCCAACAGTGGACAGAATAACATGGTCCTTAACAAACAGAAAAGCAGCAACAGGAAGGCATCACGTTCCTTACAAACTGAGCCCGTGGGCCACTGTGAACAGACATCACAGGACTTTGGCTGTGAAATCCCACTTTGTGAGATTGCCCTGTGTTGGCGACACGGCGAGGGCTGGGATGTGCCTTCCGTGCCTCTCAAGCACCTTGGCTTTCTTACTCCCGGTCTCTTCTTTGAAGAGGGGTTATGTTGAAAATTCCCATCCAAATGACAGAAGAGGGCTCCTGACTGAACAGGGTGGCCGTTGCTCTGTTTTATCTGCTAGGGCAGCCAGACTCTGATGTACCTGTGCATGCCGCCAGCTATGCCGGGCAGGCCTCTCTGAGCACTCACGCCCCGGTGGCAGGGACAGTGAGCACGTCCTCATCTCCACCTGGGGAAGTTTGGTGACTTGTCCAGGGTCGTCCATGGTCAGTGGGGACTTGGGCTGTGCCCTCCCTTCCCTCTCAGAAGAATGGTTGTGGGCGCAGAGGACGGGCGATTGCCTGCCACACCGTGGTCCTGGGCCCCACTGCCCCCACGCCTGGGTGCCCAGCAGGTGCCTCTTCTGTGACATCTCCCAGAGTGAGCAGTCCTGGGGGAAACAGTCCGTATGTGGTCATTGGTGACCTTTAATAATCGCCGTCATCCTGTGGGAGGCTTCGTGCTGCCCCTAATGAGCCTCGCAAACCACCGTTCTCTGGACCAAGATCTGAAAACCGCAGCTACCTGCTTCAGGACTGAACAAGAACCACAGAACGAGGCGTTGCCACTGACAGAGGCGCAGGCCATTCAGTCGTCACCTTCCTGTTCAGCCCAGAGAAGCCGGGGAAAGACTCAGACTGTTCTGGACAAGTCACGAGACTGGGCGTGCAGCCACCTGCCAAGCTGCTCAGTGTCCCTCTCTCCCAGTGCACCGAGGACCCCAGTCCCGGAGGAGGTCTCGAATCTGCTCTGGGCGAGGTTTCTGCTGATGCCGGGGCTGTCCTGAGCTTGAGGGTGCCACATACCTCCCCGACACCCCCACCTGCCTGGGCTGACACCCACAGACGTATCTAGATGGTGCCAAACGTCTTGGTTGAGAACAACGTGCTGTGGAGTGAAGACAACTGTGTTTAGCTAGAAACATTTTAAAATTACCCTTCAGTTTACAGAAAAAAATACATTGACGGTAAAAAAATTAAATTAGCAAGTTAAGGAAAAAATGTATGACTTTTCCTGGCGTCTGTAGTGATAGAACTGAATGAAATTGTTCACGTTGTGTCAATTAGTGAGAAAAATGGTCCATTTGGTGCTTGTGCCTCCAGAAGGCTCAGTCAAGTGGGTGAGGGTGTGACGGGCAGCCTGGAGTGTAGTCAGGTTTCCGTGGAGACCCCGCGGGCCCTGCTCACGGGTCTGACACTGTCAGTGGCTGTGTGAGGCCAGGTGCCCAGGCTTGTGGGCTTGCGAGGGCTCTGTGGCCATCAGAGATGCACCCAGCTTTCCTGTATGGGGGGTTTCAGGAGGGCTGAGTCCAAGGCCATGTGCCAGCAAACCTTCAATATTCTGAACAGGGAGCCCCCCCACGCACCCCGACCTTTGTCCCCCCCTGGATGTTCTGAATGGGGAACCCCCCACACACCCTGACCTGAGCCTGCCCCCTGGATGTTCTGAACGGGGAGCCCCACATGTACCCAGACCTCCTTGTGCCCTGCTGCACTGGTGGCTTCCTGGGGCCCACTGAGCTGGAGCCTTGGTGAGGCAGCTGAGTTTGTCCTGGGGGCCAGAGTGGCTGCTGGAAGAGGATTAAGGGGAGTCTGGAGCCTGGGCACAGTGTCTGCCTGGGAGCCGTGCCCCACCTTGGAGGGCGGCTGGCTCTGTCTGCACTTGGCCACACAGAGCCTCCACTGCAGCTGCAGGGCACCAGCCTCTCCTCTCCTGTTGCAGCCTCGTGCTACTCTCATAAAGGCCACAGATAGGCCGGTTCTCTCCTAGCTCTGGAGGCCGTGAGTCTGGATCAAGGTGCTGGTTGGCAGGGTTGGTCCTTCTGAGGCTGTGAGGGGGGATCAGACCCAGCCTCTCTCCTGGCCTCTGGGGGCTGCTAGCAACCTCTGTGGCCTGTGGGCAGCGGCAGCATCACCCCATCTCTGCCTCTGTCCTCAGGACGTGTTCTCCCGGGCACTGCCTCTCTAAGGACACCAGGCTGCTGGATTGGCCCACCCACCCCAATGACCTTTCCCCCAATTCATTACATCTGCTATGCCACTATTTCCAATAAGGTCGCAGTCTGAGGTTGGGACTTCAGCACCTGAATTTTGGGGGACACAATTCAACCCCTGCAGCAGCAAAAACCAGTGGACAGAACACAGGTCAGGGTCTGGGCCTGGCTGTGGGGTGTTGCTGGGCGGAGTTTATCCTTCATAAGTGCTGATGCGCTCTAAGACCCGATATTAGTTTCATAAACAACCATCTCTTTTTTGCAAACTATACCCACAGGTCCCATTGCCACTCTCAAGCGCTATACCAGCTAGTCAGATGACAACCGTGAGAAACTTTATCTTAAGTATTTACTGTGAGGCTGGGATATTGCTGATTCCTCAGGGGCAATTCAGCACTCCGGTGGGAAATATGTGACCTCATTTGCATTTTCTAATTGAATTGCTATCAGCTTTCCTGCAAGACTGCACAGAAAAAAAAAGGTCCTTCCGGATTCCAGCCCCGCTGTTACCCACAGAAAGACGTCTCCAAACAGTTGCTAACAGAGGACAGGAAGAGGAGGAGCAAAGCTGCCAATTTTTATGGTTCATGTAACTGTAAAGCTGTTAGTTTTACCCAAGTTCAAGGAGAGTTGCTGAAATAATGGGCAGAGGAGGCTGCACTTGGAAAACCTCAGCGTGGGGGCAATGAAATGCATGGAACCGGGCGACGAGGGTCCCTGCGTCTGCCCTCCCGGCTGCTGTCAGAGGCCTGTCCCTGGGCCTGTGAACACTGCGTGACCTGCCGCTCTGAAGGAGGCTGCTTGTTTCTCTAGAACCTTCCTCCAGAGCTCCTGTCCACCCTGTGTCTCCATCTGAATGCCCCACCTTCTCCAAACCCAGCTAGGAAGCCCTCTGCCTGCATTTGTTTAAAAGAAGATTTTGAATTGTGAATGATGAACTATGCGAAAAAAGTGCACAGAACAAAAGTGAGCTCACATCAGAGGTCCCCGAAGGCACGCTCTGCCCTGTGTGTGCCAGAGGTCCCCAAAGGCACGCTCCGCCCTGCGTGTGCCAGCACAAGACACCGCCCACTGGACTTCACAGCACCCGGCCCGTTCCTCCTGCCGAGGGCCCATCTGCTGCCTCCTTCACCGCAGGTCTGTGCAGGGCCCTCCTGTGCTCTTCAGGCGGAGGTCTGTCCACCGACTCTGCTGTGCATATTCCACTTTACGAATCTGCCACGTTTATTCATTCTCACGGTGACAGGTATTTGGGCTCTGCCTAGCTTTTGGCTACTATGAGCAAGGCTGCTCTTAGCATCCTGGTGTGTATGGAGCAGGACTCTCGGTATTTATGTGCACATCTGTCCGTGGGGGCGTGTGCGCCGAAAACCAGGCACATGGCTGTTTGACCTAATGAAAATGCCCGCTGCTGTCTACCGTGAAGCATCATCCATTCCACTTGCTCCACGCTCTCACCGACACTTGGTCTTGTACGGCTCTCCTATTTGAGCCATTCTGATACGCGTCTGGCCATCTGGCGGACTGCCTGGGCTGACTGCATCTTACCTGTGCACCTGCTACAGCTCCCCTCTTTGGCGACCAGCCCGTGAGCCTCTTGCTCATTTTAAAATCTGTCTTCATGTAGTGATTTGAGGTTCTCTGTATTTCCCACACGTGAGTCTTTGGTCATGACCAACCATACCTTCTCCCATGCCCTGGATTATTTTATTTACTTTTTAATATACATGTTTCAGTGGGCAGAAGTTCTTATTTTTAATAAAGTTCATTATCAATCTTTCCCACATATTTCCTGTTTGGTGTGCTGATCACCTCGAATTGATTTTTGGGTGTGCTGTGGGGTAGGGGTCATTTCATTTTTTTTCTGAAGGATACCCCATGCCCTAGCACTGTATAAACGACAGTCCTTCCTCTCTTGTTTAAGTAGGGATTGGCAAACTTTTTCCTAAAGAGCTAATAGTAAATATTTTAGGAATTGCAGACCAGTGTTGCAAAATTGTGGACACTTGTGTGGGAATCTGTAGAACCATCTAAAGTGCAACCATTTAAAGTGTAAGAACCGCCCTTTGCTTGTAGGACATTTTCAGGTGGCTCACTGGACTTGGCTGCAGGCTGTAGTTTCATGTGGGCTGCAGTTTGCCAGACTGGCTAGACAGCACCACTTGTAAAAAACCAAGAGTCTGTACCTTGTGCATGTGACAGGCTTCTCAGATTTTTGTTGTCTGAAAGTTATACGTCTGTGAAGCTGATTTAGTGAAACATTCAGTAGCTTTTCCTGGGCTTAGCCTTCTATTCCGTTTGCTACCTGACTGTCTCTGCTCCCCAAATCACACCATTTTAATTTGTGTAGTTCAGTGGTTCACAGAAGGGGACAGTTTTATGCCCCCAGGGAACTTTGGCAGTGACAGGAGGGAGCTTTGGTTGCATAGTGGGTGGAGGGGTGGGGGCCAGGGACGCTGCTGTATGTCCCACGGTGCACAGGACAGTCCCACCTGCAAAGCGTGCCTGCCCCAAATTCAGATAGGTCATTATGAAAGTTCTGAGATGCATAAAAATCAAGAAATGTCGAGTCCATGCACATGGGGACAAATGAAGCCCTCCTGGAACACTGAAAGCTGAGCAAGTCGAAATGTGCACGGAGGCCTCAGAAAGGACTCTGTTGCCTGTCTCTCTAAAGTGAATAAAGGACCGTAACACAGTCGGAACTTCCACAGTGACCCGCGTGGTGCTGGGGTGGGAAAACCCTCTGTAGTTTACCAGCATGTCTCACGTCGTGACGAGCGTATCTTCCCATCTTCTTGTTCTAGGCTACCTTAGCCCTTTGCATTTTTATTCAGAAATTTAAAATCAGAAACGAGCAAGCAAAAAAAAAAAAAAAAAATCTTCCAGGCTTTTATTGAGTCTGTGTTGATTCCATGGAAACTTTGCCTGGAATTAGTATCATTGCAGCATTAGCCTTCTATGTTACGACGGTGGCACAGCCCTCCATTCCAAAGGTCTTTAATTTTTCTCAGTAACACGTAAGGGTCTTGTAGATTTTTGTCAGGTTCATTCAGAGTCCTATTTTTAATGCTGTTGTAATTGGGATCTACTTCAGGCTTCACTTTCTAAGGACCTATTTCTGATATGTGGAGTATAATTGTTTTATATCCTGCACCCTTGTTAATCTCTACACTCAGAATCATAGAAACTACAATTAATGTGACCTTTACCTATTCTGATTTCTTTCTCGTGCTGTACTGTGCTGGCTTGTACCCTCGGTGGGTAATGTCGTATTTGTCGTATTTCCTGTCATCAGGGATGGTTTTGCATATTGCAACAGTAAAGTGAATATTTCCTGTAGATACTCTTTATGAAATTAAGTAAGACCCTCTGTTTTCCTAATTTGCTGACTATTTTGACCTGAATGGAGGTTAAATTTTAACAATCGCTATTCAGATAATCATGATTTTTGTCTTTTATTCTGTGTTAAGTTACATTGATTCAGTGAACTTCTATATTCTTGGAACAAATCCAATTTGGCTATGATTAATCATCCTACATAAACAATACTGGATTTCAAGGTGGTTGGTATTTTGCTTAGCATTTTTGCATCTATTTTTATGAGCAACATTAGACTATAATTATCCTCTCTCGTGTTATTTCAAGGTTCTTGATGTTTCTGAACGTGGATCCTGCTAGTTTGGGGCTTGGTTTTTGTCTGTATGGACAGGGTTGTGCTGGTTTGGGACACAATTCATGCCTTGGTTTGTTCCCGTTTTAGGTAAAGACTTTGCTGGTTTGGGACACTGTTCATTCAGGTTTTGGGCACGGTCACTGGCAAGGTTCAGAACACCACCACTCTGGGGGAGAGATTCCTCTTATTTGATTCTATGGAGACGATGGTAGCAGTTCAAAATATTCTGATTTCTATATGATTTATTTTCTACCCATGGGTAAGAAGGCTTTTATTTAACTTCCAAATCTTTGGGGATTTTCCAGTTATTTTCTTTGTTATTGACTTCTAGCTTAATTGCTCTGAGGTAAGAAAACAAACTGGGTTTGATTTTAGACCTTTGAAATATGTCGAGACTTGCTTGGTTAATTTTTGTAAATATTCTGTGTACGCTTAAAAACAATGTGTGTTTAGCAGTGATTGGTTTCTTTTACAGATGCCTGAGTAAGGCCAGACCTATAAATGGGAGGGTCTAGTCTTCTGTGTCCTTATGGATATTCACTCCACTTATTCTATCATTTACTAAAAGGTACTTGTTAAAATTTATCATTGATCATATATATTGGGTTATTTCTCCTTTTATTTTTATCCACTTTGGCATAAACTTTTTGAAGTCATATTGTTAAATGTACACAAATTTAGCATTCTGACATCTTCTCGGTGAGTTGAACTGTTCATTCTCATGAAATATTCCTCATCGCGTTTGATGTTTTTTCCCTTAGACTCTATTTGTCCGACATTAGCAGAGCTCGGACCAGCTTCACTCTGATTGGTATTTGTATGCTAATTTCCCCCTATGATTGCACTTTCAGCCTTTCCTTACATTTTTTAGATATCTTTTATAAACTGTCTACAGTTGGAGTTTTTCTTTATCCAATCCGTCAATATGTTTTCTTGTGATTACAGTAGTTAATATATTTTCATTTTGCTAATACATTTGCATATGTATGGTCTTACAGAAAGAAAAATATATGGCCCATCCATTCTGTTTACATTTCTCTTTTCTTGCATTTTTTTTTTGCATTGAAAATTTTAGTATTGTACTTGTCATCTGTTATCTTTAAACTTACATATTTTGGGGATGTTCGGTGATTTTTCAAAGACCTTTCGATAAATCTCTTTGGTTTATCAGAGTATATTAATTTGGCATTTCCAGTGTCTTCCAGAACAATGCAAGCAACCTACATCTCTTTGACTCCATTTATCTTTTCTCAAAGTTCGTGCAGTTCTTGTCGTGAGTGAACCATCTACTCTACGGCCCGTGAAACGTACTGTTATTCTTCATCTACATTTTTCTGTTTTTTTGTCCTTTTTGCAGCTCTTCATTCTGTCCCCCATTTCTACTTTCACTTCAACTTGTTTGTTGTCTGAAGAAAACAACTTGGGACAGATTCTTTCAGCCTTTGTTTGTTTGACATGTTTTTATTTTACTTTACTTCTTGAAAGATAGTTTTACTGGTAATCACATGACATGTCTGTATTTTACTTCTTGAAGGATAGTTTTACTGGTAATAGAATTCTGTTTTCCTTTAGTACTTGAGAAACACCATTCTATTGTCTCATGCCCTCCATAGTTCCCACTGAGAAGTCAGTTGTACCTCTAGTTGTTACTCTTTCAAACTTCAAGACTCTCTTGTCCATTGGTTTTCAAAATTCCCTCTGTTTTTGGGCTTCAGCTATTTCACCTGAGGCCCTCAAACACTATTATCTTCATGATAACCACAGGGCTCCTTGAATCTATTCCTAGATGCCTATTGCCTGTTTTAGGATATTTTCTGCCAGTTTTGGGATATTTTCAAACATTGCTTCTCCATTTTATTTCTTCCCTCATGTTCCAACCATACACATTAGGTCTTCTTACTGCTTCTTCAACATCTCTGACCCTTTTTCTGTGCTTCTTTCTGTATATCTTGTTATGCTGTAGAGAGCATGAATACCTCTTTTGATATCCTTTCTTTCACTAATTCTCTCTTCAACTATGACTACTCTGCAGACATAGCTATCCATTGAGCCCTTAATTTTTTTTATATTCTAGTTCCAAATCACCCTCTTAATTCTTTTTTATATCTTCTAATTATCTCTGGAAACTTATAATTAATTTGCTTAAACATAGTAAACATAATTATAAAATCTATGTTTGACCATGGAATATTATGCAGCCTTAAAGAAAGATGGAGACTTTACTTCTTTCATGTTTACATGGATGGAGCTGGAATATATTCTTCTTAGCAAAGTATCTCAAGAATGGGAGAAAAAGTATCCAATGTAGTCAGCCCTACTATGAAACTAATTTATAGCTTTCATATGAAAGCTATAACCCAATTATAGCCCAAGAATATGGGGAAAGGGGAAAGGGAGGGGAGGGGAGAGGAGGGGAGAGGATGGGTGGAGGGAGGGTAATTGGTGGGACCACACCTACAGTGCATCTCACTAGGGTACATGTGAAACTTACTAAATGTAGAATATAAATGTCTCAACACAACTAAGAAAATGCCATGAAGGCTATGTTAACCAATTTGATGAAAATATTTCAAATTGTATATAAAATCAGCACATTGTACCCTATGACTGCATTAATGTACACAGCTACAATTTAATAAAAAAAATTTGTTAGATCCAAGTTGGAAAAGCCAAAAAAAAAAATCTATGTTTGATGACCCCATTACTTGGAGCTTCTGTGAATCTTTTCTTATTATCTGCTTTGCTCCTCTTGCTTTTTACTTATATCATCTTGTCCCTCCTCATGTGGCCAGTCAGGAAGCAAGGTGCACTAGACATTGCATGTTAAGAGAAGATGGAGATCACATAGGGTCTGGGATCATGTCTTACACAGGAGAAGATTTACATTTGCTTTTTTGGAAGGCAGCTATGGCCACCATAACCTGGTACCACCTTAATCCATTTATAGAGAGTGACATTATTTGAAGGTTGGCATCAGTCCCTATAAGGGCCCATCAATGAAGTGACCAAGACCACAGTGAGTTGGTCTTCTAAGACCCTCCATCCCTGCCCACCTCCTCCCACCCCTGCACCACCATGGTGAGGGTCCAAAAGCTGTGGTAAGCACTGGGATGTGCAGAGTTGGTACCAGACAAATACCAGCAGAGCTACTATTTCCACCCTTGCCCACAGGGTACTCTCAACACCCTCAGGACAGGATGTGGGTAGCAGGAATTCCCTCAAACACCCAGCCAGTTGGTTGGAGAGAACCCCTCTGCCATTCTAGGTTCAGCTCTACCTACAGAGTCACCTTAACTTCTTCCCTAAGCATCAGGGATGTGGTGGGGGTCAGATGAGTTGACATCACTCAGGGTTGGGGTGAGTGGGCTCCTGGAAAGTCAGGAAAGGGAGCCATTGGTAACAAAAGTGGCCTGAAATATAACAGAGGAAGACCGGGTCTCATGGGCTGGAGAGACTCAGCCTGTATGCTGTCTGTGACAGCCATGTCTCATGGACACAGGGTTGTGGCCTCCCTGTGGTCCTGTGGCTGGGCTCCCCAGGGAGCTCTGAGCCTGGAAGATGAACTCAGTGTCCTGTGTTCCACTGGCTGGGCTCTCCTGGGCTCTGCCTGGATGTGGGTTGAGGCACAATCCTACTGGGGACTGCCTGATCACAGTCACAGCTGCTGCCCCACCTTCCACAGAGGATCAGGGGATTAACTGCCTCAGAAACAGCTTCATTAACATGCCTGACAAAAGGTGTCATTATATTTTCAATTAGTGCCTTTCATTGGAGGCCTTGGACAGGCTGGAAGCTCTCTGCTCTCTGCTCACTAGGAGCAAGGCTTCAGCACTGCACTCGGGAACTTAGGGACAGTCCAGCAGTCCCATAGTGAGCCAGGATGGGCAGTCCCTGCCCCTCAGCAGTGGGGCGCAGTTATCACGGGGAAGGGCCCCACATGGGACAGGATCCCAAGGCTCCTTCTGGCTGTCCCCAGAGTCTGCCTTCCTCATCAGCTTATGGCTTGTAATAATGACTCAGGAGGGAGTGAAAAATGACATCTCAGCGTCTTTACTATCCACAGAGTGAGGCTCACAGGTTGGGGGGCACTGCTGTTAGAGCCTTTTCTTCCTTTGCCCCCTCCCTCCATCTTTCCTTCTTTCTCCTCTTTCCCTTCTTCCCTCTGAATCAGCCCTGCCCTGGCTTCTCGCGTTGCCTCACTTCCAACCCCGTGGTCCGTGTCTTGCTTCTCATCCCTCCAGGGCTCGAGGGCTGCAGACTTGTCAGCACCCACTCTGAGAGGCAAATGTGAGGCTCTGTGTCCAGTGGTGATGAAGAACATCAAGATGGTGGCACAGAACCTTCAAGTGGGCGAGGGACCTGTCTGTAAAGTTGCTCTGACCAGTCTGGCCCAGGGAGATGCTGACTCTCTGTGCCTGGCAGAGGTCATGTCCTGCTGCCTTCAGGAGGAGGCAGGATATCAAACTCCAGGCACAGACCCCCTCCATCCACCTGGGACACCTTACCTTGTGTGCAGAGTACGGGGACGAGGTCTGGGCCACCAGTAGCCGCACCACGGCATCCCATCTCTCGGCTGTCTGGCGGTCCCACGCTGTCACCGTGAATGCCACCTGCTCGGAGGGGACCCGTAGCTCCCGGGTGGCAAAGACTGTCCCGTCTGCTCCGACTTTAAAGTCCACACTGTTGGTCTCATATTGTGTCCCCTTGGTCCCCAAACAGCTGCTGAACTTGACTGCAAGAAGAAGAGGAAGGGAGAGACAGTTAGGACTGGTCCAGCCAGCACGGGGCCCAGACAAGCACCGTGACCATGAGGGGCACCACCCTGTGTCCCCAGGGAGTAGCAGCTTCTTGCCCTTCTGAGAAGGCGACGGGTCTTATCTCAAGCCTCCAGGGAATTAGCCCGAGGACTTACAGAAGGAGAGAAGCAGAGGGCAACCTGTTCATCGCGTCACCTAAAGCATGGCCGCCCTCATGGCAAACGCATCTCTCCCTTGTTGCTATTTTCTCTGAACTCAGCTGAGTTTCAGACAAACCAGTGGGTATTCTCTGCCTAAAAAAATATTCCCTTGTTTCCCCATTCTTGCTGTATGCATACCTTCTGCCTGTCGGCACAGACTTTAAAACCCTGAATGGATCTATTTTTCCACCCCCAAGAAGGCTAAGTGCAAGAAGGAACAAGACAGAGCTGGCATTTAGGGTCCAGCCCCAGGGCCGGGGGGTTCTGGCAGCAGCACCAGGTGGTCTAGAAGCCTGTAAGCCCCTCAGTGTGAGTGGGGCAGTGCCATGCACTCTCTTGGCTCACTGCCGGTGGGAGTCCAAGGCAGTAAGTATCTACTGACCCTGCCGCGTCCTGTATGCGGTTTCCACAACATTACTCCAGCGATGGCACCACTGGCCCCTTCTGATGGCTTCAGTGCCACGGCCATCCTAAGCTCTGCTGCAGAGAGCGACCCCTCCCAAGCTGCGCATTCATCACATTGCTGCAGTTTTCATACAAGTGCTTTCGCAACTGTTGCCTAATGCCCTGGTAAATCACCAAGCACCAACAGCCAGTGTCACATTGCGCCGATAAAAGCGATGGATAAAATTACCTCGTATTTATAAAAATGTGAGTATCTAAGCAATTATGGTGGGAGGATTGGTTTCTTAAGCAATTTCTCTGTCACAGCTTACGTGATTTAATTACTATTTATTCTAAAAACGAAGAAAAGCTACTCACTGTTACATCTGATAAAGTGTTTTCCCTCGTGCTCACCTTTTATTGTTGCCTGCCTCGAAATAATAAATGCCGCTTATGTTCCCTCGTCTCAAATACTTCACTTCAGATGGCTTCCCAGTTACCGGCACCTCCCCCCAGTGCATTGAATACAAGAATGTTTCCAAATGTGATGACACCGGGCATTTCCATCCTGGCGGGAGGATGCCAGAGCCCCACAGACCGGGTTCCTCTGACAGCCGGGGCGGGCGGGAGAGCAACCTCCCCCTCCAAGGACAGAATAAATAATCACATTTTTTATTAAGTAACGGGAAGTTTCTAAACTATTTTCATAGTACTGTTTGTCCCAATGGTAAACAAATTAAAATCAGCAACAAATCAGTGGATCAATCACATCTGACAAGCGATCGTTACTGACAAAAGATAAAAATGACAGTTCCCTGATTGCTGAGCGATTAGCACAAATGCATAAATAAGTTGTTTGTTCCTTAAAAGCAAATGTCTAATAAACCTAATGGAGCTGGACAGCAGCGGGAGGGTTTCTGTGTCTTCAGGATGAGACAGAACGTCTGAGTTTTTTTAGGGAAACAGGCACCCAGCTTCAGTGATGTCCTGGGCGCTGACAGTGCTTTATAAAGAGTGGACTGCTGACACCTGGGCTGCCAGAACAGGGGTCAGCAGGAGCCGCTGGTCACAGAGACCAAGGACTTCGCAGGTGCCTCTGTGGGACAGCCGCTTGATGACACGAAAGCCAGGCCCTCAGAAGCCACTCTGAGGCACAAGTCTGGAGGAACGGGCCTGGACACAGCAAGGACTTCTCCTCAAAGTCCCTCCCATCTATGGTCTCTTGTCCTCGTCTAAGTGGGCACCTGGTGGCTCAGCCCTGCTCGTGCCCTGCTGTTCTGGATTCTCCAGACGGGGACCCTCAGCTTTCTGGCTCCCGGGCATCAACCCTGCTGGCCAATGGCACACGGATGATGGTGGCAGCTGGTGCGGCACCCTCTGAGTTCCTGACTGACTCCCCAGGAAAGGGGGTGACCTGGCTGCCCAGAGCTGGGCATGGCGAGGTGTTCTCTTATCCTGGGGACGCTTCTGGGCATGTGGAAAGGGACCGCTGTCACCTCACACGGCCTTATGTCCCACTCAGCTCGTCCTGGCAAACAGTGCTTCCATCTGAGCAAGAATGGAGATGGCAGCCGGCACTCAGAGTCCTGGGACGCCAGCAGGCAGCTGCAGCCAGGCCTGGTGCATTCTGGAATGCAGCCCCACACAGCCACAGCACTGAGAGGCCCTGTCCTCCCTGTCCCAGAGCCCGGCTGGGAGGGGGAGTCAAGGGCAGGACCTGGAGTTGCCCACAGAGCCAGGTGTCTGGGACACACTTAAGTGAGGCGACGTCTGAGACCCTTAAACACACCAGGCCAGGCTGGGCACTAGCACAGGCCTCACACCAGGGTCTGACAGTGCTGTCCAGGATCAGTCTATATCCAGACCGGCCTGGGACAGGACCCTGGCAGTGGGATGGGGTCAGCTCTGCTCACCACCCGGCAGCTGGCCAGCTCCCAGGGACGCCCCAGACACTCTGCTGTCTGTCCCTCCCCTCATGTCACCCATTTTTGTTGCCTTTGCTGGCTTTGTGCCTGGGCTTCTCAGATTCCATTTCCTGCCCACGTCCCCCAGGGCTGATAGCAGTGCCAGGGCCAGAGCGATGCTCATGGTTTCCTGCCCATCAGGGGCCGAGGATGGTGCCTGGCATACAAGGGTGGAATGAGGCCCAGGGCTCTCCCCTGCTGATGCCTCTCCAGGAAGCCCTGGTGTCTGCCCACTCAGGGTAGGGAGGGCATCTGCTTCACTCTGTGCCAGCCCAGAACTGTCCCTTGACAGACCTCCTGTGCCCTCCCTCACCACGGGACGGAACCATCAAAGGAGATAGCTGGCACTGCACCATGGGCCACGAAGGTGAGTGGCTCAGGTTTGACATACCAGGCTAATGGTTTCTTAACATATTGGCTTTTGGCTTTCTACGTTCTCTCTCAGTCTTCAGGAGAAAATTAAAATCCAGTGGGATCCAGTGGGATTCTCTAGAAAACTTTCCTTTCTACATACCAGATAAAACCAACACACGTCATGGAAAAGTTCCTCTTGGGATCTGAATGCTGATGGCACGTTTTGTCCTGACCCAGCACAGACCATTCTGGGCGTGTGCCTTGCGTGTGGTGGTGCCTCTGCCAGCCCCGGCTGCTCACCTTCTGACAGGAGCGTGGAGCCAACAGGTGCAGAAACTGAGGCCTGGGGATGTCTCATATTTTCTTGGGGAAAAAGTGGAAGAGGTAACATCTGAGGCAGGACTTGAGGACCCCTGCCTAGTTGGGGGGAGGGCTGGGCCTAGTTCCCTGTGGGAACTTTCTGCTGGGGTTGGGAGCATTAATCTGGGTGGTGCCTGCGCGAATCATGGGGATAAAGGGATAGGACATGCAGAATGGAGTTTTCAGAGGTGGGACACAGGGTGACCTCCACTAGCTTGTGGGGTTCCAGTGAGTGACCCTGAGTGTTTGTTCCACTCAAGTTTTTTTTTTTTTTGAAACGGAGCCTCAAGCTATCCCCCTAGGTAGAGTGCCATGGCATCACAGCTCACAGCAACCTCCAACTCCTGGGCTCAAGCAAGTCTCCTGCCTCCACCTCCCAAGTAGCTGGGACTACAGGCGCCTGCCACAACGCCCGGCCATTTTTTGGTTGCAGCCATCATTGTTGTTTGGCGGGCCCGGGCTGGGGATTTGAACCCGCCACCGTAGGTGTATGTGGCTGGTGCCTTAGCCGCTTGAGCCACAGGCGCCGAGCCACCACTCAGGTTTTGTTAAAAGCTATTTTCTCATTTAGCCGAGAGGGTAAGCTGAGGAAGGAAATAAAAACATCAGCAGTTTCTCTGAGTAAGCATGTTAGTTCTTATTCTATCTATAATCATTAACTTTAAGGGTCTGAGCAGTCTTGAGAAATCCAGAACCTGAGCCTTGTGTGGGGGCGGCCTCCTGTCTGTGGTCACACACACAGATCACTTGGGGAGGTTAGTCCCCCTAGTTCTCTATAGAGTAGATGCTCCAGCATGAGTCTCCTCTGAAGAATCAGTGGAACAGAAGCATTTTCCTCTGATCTCCACCCCAGAGGTGTCTTCCCTCTGATAAGGGTATGAACCCTCCTGCCCATATTTCAGGCTGGAGCTGTTCCTTTGATCTCTGTCCTGGCTGTAACACAAATTCCCACAATAGGTATTTGCTTTGACTGTTGCCTGGGCAGGCGACAGCCTGGTCAATTTTCTTCCCTAGCCCTTGAATGAAGCTTTCTCTACAGCCACTCTCTTCTTCAGAGTGCTTACAGACCCAGCAGGGGTGTTTACAAGCTGTAACCCTTACAGGCCAGGCTTCTAGAAAAGCAGGAACTGCTCAGATAAGGAATTTAGCGGCTGGTCTAACAGTAAGCTAGCTAAACTGTTTTTACTCTGCCTTGCTCAGCTTATTTCTCCATTTTTCCCTTTTTCTGGGGGTGTTTTCCCTTGCCAAGAATGGGATCTTTGGTCCCCATTCTCTCTGCAGACACCCTGAGAGCAGGGGCTCTCTCTGAGCACCCATCTTCACTTCTGTAAGGTGGGAGTAGTGGCCAGAGGGCGGGAGGAATGAGGTGGGGACTGGTCCCTTCATGGGAGCCTGGCACAGGGCAGGTGCTGGAGTGATGCCAGCTGCTGTCTTACCCACGGTCATGGTGTGCACCACTGCTGGCATCAGTGGCGAGGAGACAGGCCCCAGGGAGGAAGGGCCCTTGGACAAGGTCCCACAGGTCAAGATTGTCCATCCCATAGATGCTGATGCTCCCAGTGCCTGAGGAGGTCACTTGGAGGGTGGTGACTGTGTGAGGAGGATGTGGACAGACCAACCCTCAGGGGTCCTGACCAATGGGGTGGGACAGGGAGCCCAGCATGGTGCATGGCCAGGCAGCACCGTAGCCCTGACCCTGCAGGGATCCTGTCT